GGATCTGAGACGATGCATGGTTTGACGAACCATTTGGTTTTTGTTTAGTTTACGGAAGCGGGTCAGCAGGTTTTCACTGCTTTCCAGCGTTTCAGTTCGAGTGCGGTTTGTAAACTGGAGTGTCCTCTACAGAAGGCCACATCAGTCAGTGCTTTTGCTCAGTTTTTCTATTTCTTGCTTTTAATGATTTGCTGTCACTCGTGTTATTGGGGACAAAAACCTCATTTCTGCTGTAAATGTGTGAGTTTGACACGCGCTCGGTCTCTCTACTATATCTCGATGTATAGTTGCATTTCTGAAATGTCATGTTTTTGCTGAATTGTAGATGTCGCAGCACTCTAAAGACAATTTCATTCATCCTTGCACGAGTTGCACTACTGATGGATCTGTTGTACAAAGAATCTATGGAAAAATTGAACTGACTGCAAGAACTCTACCTCTTGCATATGACCAATAAATCTTGTGGATTACCTCGATTTCAAAATGTCTTTACTTTAGGGGAACCACTTCTTTTTTGCATTCGCAATGTGTATTCAACTTTATTTTTCAGCGTGGTGAGGAATGAACGAGAAGGAAACTAGTAGGTAAACCTGAAATCTTTTATTTTCAGTATCTGGTGCATTTAGAAAGAAAATGTATAAATGTAGTTCTGAAAGTCGGATGAGTGCATGTATAATAACACGTTTATTTCAGTATACATCATGTAAAAATCTTTAAAATAATAATACACTTTAAATCTAATTAAACCAGATTTGTTCTCAGTTCAACTCTTTTGGAATCTGATCATCCCGCTTGATTTAAGTATTTAGTTCTTAAATTGCAAATGTTAGATCTTAGGGGATCATTTAAAATTTAATCTGATATTTCATTGCCAAAAAAAAAATCCTTTTCATTTTCCCCCATTTTTTTTTTTTTAAAGTAAAAGTGTATTTTTATTAAAACTGAAAAAAAAAATCTTACAAGTAAAGCCTATCAAAAGGTTTAAATCTTCGTGTTAACGAGCATTATTTTTTTTATTATTATTATTAATGATTTTGTAACTTCTCCAGTTGTCACTGTGATGATAGACAACGCTGGTTATTTTTTTTCATTAATTCTGTGTTAATTGTCTGAGTTCTTTGTGATGATGATGGACAGCAGTGTGGGTGTCATGAGGAGTGACGCGGCCATATTTGCCGGTGCTCCGCTGTAAACAAAAAGTGTCTGTGAGACGGACGCTCCGCTGATTTTAGGGACAATTTTATTTCTCTCATTTATTATCTCTTCAGGTATGTCTTACAAACCCAATCTCCATCAACACCTTCCGGGAACTTCTGGGAACCAAGGTATGCCGAAAAAGCGTGGAAAACTCTTGGTCTTGAGTGTATTTGGTCGAATGTAAGAATTGGCGTGAGAAAGAATACCTGGGGAAAAGCCGTGTGTAGTTTTTGTCCAGTCTGATCGCTACAGGGTCAGATCCTTCACATCCGCCATTATTACTAGTGAAAAAAACGCATTCCTCGCCTTCGCTAGAGCTAAATATCGGCGTGAGGTACATGTTTGGGTTCTTCCCGAAGGGTCCGCGTCGCGCCGTGGCCGGATGGGTTTGCGTGGAGGCCGCTAGATTGTGATGAAAATGAATCCTTTTAGCGGCTAAGATCAAGCCCGTGCCGTTTCCTCCATGATTGTCTCTTGGGCTGTTGATTGATTGGATTCAGACGTGCCGTTTTTATTGCTCTTTGGGGACACCTAGTGGCGGAGGGTGGTATTGCATAGAACGAAGGCTGGGGCTAGTTGTCACAAGGGTAACTGAGGCTTTGAGACAAAAGATCAGTTGCACAAATGCACGTCTGTCTTGAAATAATGTATTTGCGTAAATCATACGTTGTTGTATCACACAGTTAAGGATGTGTATTGTTGCTTTAACAGGAAACATTCCCTCTCCGTCTTCAATGGCAACGATACAGACATACAAGCCATTTCTAAATGACTTTGGGCCGCCTTCGTTGGGATTCCCACAGGTAGGTTTCATGTTATTATAGTTAACTAACACTTAAAAAAAATAAAAAAATAAATAAAAAACCAACTTAAAAATAAAAAAAAAACCTTTTAATGTATTTAATTTCAGCTTGTTGCCAAGGCAACATTTCTCATTTTTATTTAGTTTAACTTGATGTACTAAAATAACAAAAACTAAACCTGACATAAAAAACTATGTAGATATATCAAAAAGAAAATTGCACCAAAAAATGAGAAAAAAAAAAATAATTAAAAATTACAAAAATTAAAGTGAAAACATTAAAACAAACAACAAAATTACTAAAACTCTATTAAAGTAAAAATGAATTCAAAATATTTAAAAACGATTTATTTAGTTTTAATTTGACATTAATAACTAAAACAAAAAATAATGTAGACATGTTATAAAAGACTAATAAAAAAATAGAAAAAATTAAAAGCAAAAACTAATTCAGGTTCAAAATATTAATAAAACTATTCATTTAGTTGATGTACTAAAATAAAAAATAAAATATCAAACTTGATGTACTAAAATAAAATTAAAATTACATAGACATATTAAAAAACAAACTAATAAAAATGACAAAAACAATAAAATTGCTAAAACTTTAAAATGAAAAGAAAACCGAAAATAAAGTAAAAATGAACTTGATATACTAAAATAACAAAAACAAAAACTATAGACATTGAACTAATAAATATGACAATATATTAATAACTAATATACTGTCATATTTATACTAATAACTAATAAATATGACAAAACAACAAAATTACAAAAATATTAAAGGCACAATATTTAAGTTTTTGCCGCTAGAGGGCGTGTATTCAAAAGAAAAATATATAACACTCTTCTAGTGGTTTTTGGATATTTTAATAAAAAAATCTTACATATTGTGCCTTTGTAAACATGTAAACTGGAAAAATAAATGTACTCATATTTTTTTACACTTTAAAACTCATTCTATCCTAACAAAAAAATAAATAAATAAAATAATTTTTACTTACTTATTTTTTCATTTTTAGGGTCCAAATGGGAACCAAGTACCTCAGAGTAAATATGCTGAACTCCTCGCCATCATTGAAGAACTTGGGAAAGAAATAAGGCCAACATATGCAGGGAGTAAAAGCGCCATGGAGCGACTTAAAAGAGGTTTGTGGACATGATCAAAGACAAAATATATAAATCTACTTCTATATAATTTTTTGTTATCAAATGTACTCCTGTTAAGCTCAAATAATGCGTCTTGGAAACTGATTTCTGTCATTTTCTGTGTGTGTTGTAGGTATCATTCATGCCAGAGGGCTTGTTCGGGAGTGTCTGGCAGAGACAGAGAGAAACGCCAGATCCTAGCGCCGCCTCCTGCGTTCTCTCCATACGGCTGAAAGAACTGTGTCACACGGGAGTCATGCATGCCTTTCCTTTGAGGGGATAAAACAATCAAAAAAAGGAGTTGCGCTTTTCATCTGCGGTTTGGAGGGAATAAGGCACCATTCAGAAAATATGTCTTCTGATTTATAAATGCAAGAGATCCGGAACTGTTGCCATTTGAGGTTTTTTTATACATTTAATTTTCTTTGACCCCATAGTATCTTTAAGAACAAATAAGCAAAACTGCATGCAACCGGATGAACGGTCCCACAGTAGAATCTGCATGGCTTTTACAGGTTAGACTAGGTTTGTGCTTTTAGAAATAGGTCTCAGGATAAGGTAAAGTATTTTTTCTTTGGACGCACTAATGGATCGGTGAGTTTTCTTTTAATCGGGGAGATACTGAAAAGTATTCTAGTGATGCCATTACTTTCGTCTTTAATTGTATTTATTACCTTGTGTAATACAATGTATTTTCATGTAAAGACAAAAAAGGTCACTCTTTGGAATTTTGTATATCTGTCAATAAATATGACATTCATTGTGTATGAACCACTTTTGTTTATTGATTTGCAATATTGCTAACCTTACATAAATTTACCACAGTAAGAATATTTTCCACTAAAATATCAGACTTACTACAGTTGTTAGTACAATAAAACCAAAATAAAATACATACTGTACATCAAAAGAAAAAGATTTCTATATTTTTGAAGAAGAAACCATATTTATTCATTATGAAACAATGGTCACCATGTTTATTATTTAAGGCTATACTGTGTAATAATAGATTTGCATGTTTTAAAATAATGCCATAATATAGTTTATAATTGCAAATGAACTAATTAACTTTTGTAAATTACTTATTGTCTTGTGAATTGTGTTTATCCTGAGTAAAATAATGACAATTAAAAATAAGAGTTATATTTTATGAAAATTATAATGTTAAGAAGATTTTAGATCCATAGGAAATGTTTGCATTGTGAAAATATTTTCATTACAATTAAGCACTTTAAAAAAAATTTTTTTTTTATTGAATTCACAGTATTGTAATGCATGGTGTGATTTCTGACTTTTTTAAAGTTCGAATTATTCTCAAGTTTTTCAGGAAGTTTTTCAAAAAGGACCACAATAATGCAGTTATTTTATTGTAGTAGTACAAAAGAAAATAATACAAAAAATATAATGTTTCTATATTGTTTAGTTATTTATTTCACATTATGTTCATTAAATTTTGGGTAAAAAATATAAAATACTTAATAAATTTGTTCCACAAAAGCTCAATTTTCTTTAAGGAAAATAAATTATTTTTTTATTATTGACTGAAATACAACCTAAGAATGTCCTTTAATTGTTATTATTATTATTATTATTATTATGTTTTATTTTTTCCAAAGTATTTCTTCGGAGCACACAAGCCGATAAACGGCGGGCTTACGCAAAAGAGAACCAATCAGAACCTCTGTTGTGCCCTTAAAATGCGCAGAATCCTGCGAAGGAGCCAATCACAGAGCCCAAAGTGACGTTGACTATTTGTGCCGGCCAATCAAGTGACGCCTTTCGAACTCAATCGACCAATGGCGCTTCGCGGCGCAGTGTGTCGTCGTTGGTTAGAACGTTAGAGGGTTGAGCGAGAAGCAGTCAGTCAGTGACAGATGAAGAGAAAGAGACAGTGCGCGCGGTGCGGCGCGTGAGGAAATGTCAGAATGGGAGAACAAGTGATGATAAAAAGTAACAAGTAAGTGAAGCGGTACTTGGGGGTTATTGTCATTGGTAAATGTGTCAGCGCTTGTGTTTGGAGCGAGGGGATGCAGCTGCAGAGGTGATGCGTGCTGTGTGTGTGTGTGTGTGCGCGCGCGAACAGGAAGCGCCATAGCGAGTCTGTGTTTTGCTGCATGTTCACATCTATGAGCCTGCTGGACATCTATTAAATAACTGCGATAAAACCATAGACTGTATAAAAACACACCACCGGCTGGGTTTGTAGGTCGCCAGATTAGCTTTGCGTTGTTTACTGATCTGACGATTAAATGTGAGTGCTTCTGGCTTTATCGGCTCTTATAACTTGCTGTTGATCTCCATCCAAGTTCATAGCAATGAATGACATTTGTTGTGTGAATGTATCTGTTGTTGTCCGACTGCATGTAAACAATGAATTTACCAGATGTGCCCATGATGTCCTGACAGTCTGACAGCTGGGTCTTTGTTTATGCCTTAGCTGGTCATTTAAAAAAAGAATAATATGCTTTAATCTTCTTTTCTTAGTTTAAGTTTTGATAATTATCCTTTATAACATCATTGTAATGTAGCTCAAACTCCTGGTTCTGTAGATTTCATCTCCTGCTTGTGTTAGGCATTTTGAGTGTGATTGTATTAATGTGAAATAAATAGTAAAAACCCTTGTAAGAAGTGTGCTTAATTGTACTGAGTGAATGTGCACTTGTAGTGTACTTCAAATCTTAAAAGTATATTTCTAAAAACTGTACTTGCAGATTATATATTAATGAAATAAAAGGCCACTTAAGTGCACTTAAAGAGAGGCACTCATGACTGTTTCTGAACACACTTAAGCACACTTTGTAATAATGTCATATTCAAGTTTTACCTTTTAAATCATAGTGTTTTAATAATCTTTAGTCTTTTTGATTTATTTTGATGTGTTGACTAACATGCAAAGTAGTTGATTATAATTTTTACTGTAGCGTGTAATTCCAACTTCATTATTACAAATTTGTAATTACAAATAGATTTAAATATGTGACAAGTGTCAAAATGACATGAAAAATGACAAATTTCAGGTTACCAATAAATACTTGTCAGTACGTTCAGCAGTACACTTTAACCATATTTCAAAGACAATATTATCAATTATGAAATTACATATAAAGATGTACTTAAGTCCTACCTAAGTATGTTAAAAAGCTTTCTAAAGTAAACTAATTGCATTTAATATAAATGTAAACTATAACACATTTTCATTTAATTGCAAATAACAAATTTCACTTAAGTATTTTTTGAAAGTTCTCTTTTTAAGGAAGGCTAACATGCATTTTTTTCTCAATCATGACTTTAGGTTCAAATATTTTTGAATGTATAAGAACAAATAGGTTACTATTTCTACTATTTTTAATAATTACCCATATGTTTTTTTTTTTTTCAATTTATTTTTTTTAATATGAGCTCAAACATATGCATAGGTAAATAATTCTGAACGTAAATATTGAATTTATTTTCTTGGATAGTTGGCTTATTGGTTAAATATCTGGGTTGGTAATTGGAATGATGCAGGTTTGAGCCCTAGTTAGTAAGTGTTTACTTTTATGAAATATTTGTTGGTTTGATGTCGATCCCGTTATACTCTGTTTATTTTTTAAAACAGCGCTCACACACGGTCTCTGTCCACGGCTGTTTAAGCATGTCCACAGATGACAGCATCTCGGAGGACGTGTCCAGCTCTGTGGCCTTGAGCCACGACCAGATCAGTGCCAATGACGGGAAGGAGAGCGAGGCATCCATCGTCTCCTCTGAGGACACCGTATCGGGTCTCCCCGAAGAGGAGCGCTCCGCGTCCCGCCCTGAGGGCTTCCTTCAGACCACAGAAGGGGAAAACAGACCCTCCACCACACCAGCATGCAACATTTCAAACAAAATAAGGTCTGTTTTATCATGTGATGTCTTTAGTGCATTGTTTCTGTCTTCACAAAGAGGCTGTCAATAAGCTGCTTTAAATCCACAACAACAACTCTAAGGCTTGAAACATACGCTGTGCATTTGGCTTGATTTTAAAGGGATAGTTCACCCAAAAATGAAAATCCTCAAGTTGTTGCAAACCTGTATGAAGTTTTTCTTCTTCTGCTGAACACATAAGAAGATATTATGAAGAATGTTGCTAACCAAACAGTTGATGGTAGCTATCGACTTCCATATAGGGGTGTGCGATATATATCGTCTGCGATCCATAAAATGCAAAAATCAGTTTAAACTTATTGGATTTCAGTACTTATCAGTATGAACTGACCACCACACAGAATATGAAGAATATTAAAAACATTAGGAGTCAGCTGTCTTCGGCAGTCCTTAAGGTACCAGCACAATAACACACTCAGCAAAATATCGTCTAATTATCGTTATCGATAAAATCCCATAAAATATCGAGATATAATTTTTTGTCAATATCGCACACCCCTACTTCCATAGTTCATTTTTTCCCCATACTATAGAAGTCAATGGGGACCAGCAACCGTTCGGTTAAACACATTCTTCAAAATAACCTCTTTTGCATTCAACTAGAAAAAAATCATACTGGAACAACTTGAGGGTGAGTAAATTTTTTGGAGAACTGTGCCTTTAAGGCTGCATGATTTGGGGAAATAAATACATATGTGCTTTTATTATTATAAATATATTTTAAAAACATTTTTTTATTATTATTTTGATATACTTTGCGATTGAAATGTAAAATGCCGTTTTTAAAAAAATAAAGAGCTCCAGGTTTGTTGTAAATGTTTGTAGCACAATTTGTGTGCTTTATTTTAAAATGTAATTATATATGACTATAAAATAATAATAATTATTATTATTTTTATCATGATTATTATAATCTACAAGGTAAAAATATGAAGCAAAATAATAAATATTACTTTTGTAATAATGTTTCACAGTAAAATAAAAAAAATGCTGATTTAAACAATTATATAATAAATGGTGTGTTACAGTGCAACTGTACAAATGTACAAAGGCTGTCTAAATTTCTAAATTAAAATATTAACAGCAAGCTTTTATTTTGGTTGAAAACTTCTGGGAGATTAAAAGCTTCTCTTTTACTGAACGCAGATTTATAAACTATTTTTCAGTTTATATTAGTGGTCGACCGATATGGGTTTTTTGACAGCCGATGCCGATATCTTGGAAAGCAGGGTGGCCGATGGCCGATATAATTGTATTTATTTTAATTTATATTTAAGAAATTTGAAATCATTTGAAAATGGATTAAAAATAATTGTGTAAAATAAACATACTTATACTTTAGAATACAAAGAATTTTCACAAATAAATAAATATTTAATAAACAATCGAATTAAAAAGGAAGTAAACACTGTAACCAACAGGGCACTCAGTATTCCGTTTGTGAGCATTGGGAATTATTTTATTTTATTTTTTCAAATAAAGCCAAGGTAACACTCATTTTACATAGCACGCAATGAAAATGACATGAATATGACAGTGGGCAAATGCATAAAGCGCAGCATAATTTGAAATCACGAGTTTACGATCGCGCGTCTTCAGTGAAGCTGAACTCTCCTCCTGTCAGCATTCAATTTGCACGGATCGACCGTCACCCAGAGAACACGCGATCATGCAGGATACAAATGCACACTTCAACTAGATTCAACTAGAAGTCTGCAAGGTTTGTGAAATTAAATGTTCATTAGTCATTCAAAGATTTGTTTAAATGATATAAATGCGTATTTGCTGAATGCTGACGGCAAATGAGAAAGTATTATAAAGTTTGCCTTTTTGTTACTAATAATATTAAAGCAATTGTTATAATACTTTTTGTATACATTTTAATTCCTTTGTTTAACAGTTCTATCTGATTATTAGATAGAATTCTCTCCATATTAGACCGAACTGAACGACGACAGCGAACAAGAGGGAGAATGTGAGCGGTGTGCGCTCAGGCTCTGCCGTTCTCAGCGCCGTCAAAATAAAAGTCCCGCCTCGAACACATCGGCCAAACAGAAAAACTTATCGGCCGATGCCGATATTTAAAAAATGCCAAATACCGGCTGATATATCGGTCGACCACTAGTTTATATTTCAATTAATCTCTTAGTCCTACTTGATATCATGCGTTGTTGCATTCAGAAATCCCTGCTTTTTTATTTTTGTCTACATACTCAGAGGTGTGATGAACATCCCACAATGCAGCTGCTTCCTGACATCACAAATGAGATCATTTAGAAGTTTCCTGAGGCCTGAAGTGGGCATGAAATGAAAATTCACCCCATCTATTTAACGAATGCTTATTTTAGATATTATTAGTGATGCACTGAAATTAAATTTTCACAGAAGCCAACATTTTCACAAAACCAAAGTTTTTATTTAGCTGAAAACTGAACCAAAAATAAGGTTTGTGATGTTTTTGTCTTTACAAAGATGCTGCCGATAAGCTGTTTTAACTCCATAATAAGCCCTGAGGGTTGATGTGACTTATAATCAGTCTTTGTTCTCGTGTCACATGCTTTAGGAATCTGTGTCTTCGCACCGAGGAGGAGTTCAGCTCAGGGAGAAGTTTGCCCTTCATCAACCCCAGCTCCATAGAGACGCTCAGAGCTTTGGTCCAGGAGATCCAGAGCAGCGGCGAGACCGACCCTGAGATCTGGAAGAACTGTGAGGTGCGCAGATGCCTGAAACCACGCTGTCCGTTCCCTCATGCCATCACGGCCCAGGTTTCTGGGCCATCGTCTGGGGTCTCCCATAGGAGTCGAGACAGCAGCAGCCACGCTCTGAGCTGTGGAGAACATCCCACAATGCAGCTGATCCCTGGCATCACAAATGAGATCATTTAGAGTTGTCTTGAGGGCTTTAAAGTTGGCATGAAATTAAAATTCACCCTATCTATTTTTTTAAAATTAATATTAATGTTGATGCACCAAAATGATTTTTTTTTACCACAACTGTATATTTTATAGATTTTTTTTTTATATTTTCAGATTAACTTTTAAAAGATATCATTCTTATTTTACTCCAATTTGTAAAGTTTACTAGCTGTGAAACTACTAGCCCATCTCACCTAAACACACCAATTTATCTGTCTTAGCATTTCCTTCAAGTCTTTGAATCCAGACAATCTGTTTTTTTTTTTTCTCTTACATACTGACATATTGACAGTGTTTTTCTCTCATTCAAACAGGGCCGGTGGCTTCATCTCTTTCAGTTGGTGGAAAAGCAATATCAAGAGCAAATCCTTGCTCAGCAGGAGCAGTACCAGTGCCAAATACAGGTATGTTTTCCTAAAGGAACCTGTCTGGACTGTTACCAAGTTACTGTTCATGTTGCAGAGAGTTGAAGTGTTGTGCTTCGTATCTGATGCAGTCAAGGTGCTTCATTGTGTTTAATCTGGTTGTGCCAGTCTAAAGCTTAAAACATACATTGTGCAATTAAGTGAATTCACATGCATCTAGTTACACAAACTTTAAGTCAGGGCTGCATGATTTGGGGAATTAAATCTAAGTATCTAAGTGCCATCCATCCAGTTTAAAAATTATTTGAGGTCTGCTGTGATTTTTAAGCATAATGTGTGCTTTATTTGATTTTAAAATATTATTATTTTTTTCTTTATGATAATTAATAAAAATAATGTAATTGTGAAATTGCTATTTACATATAACAAAATAATAAATATTACTATTTCACAATAAAATAAAAAATTATTACTTAAGGAAAAATAATATAATAATATTAATGTTACATTTATTTGACAGTACAACTGTAAAATTACAATATTATGCATTTCCGCATTCAGAAATCTTTTTTTTTAAATACAGCATTTTGCTAAGTAGGTTAGTTAAAATTGAGCAAACTAACTGTATAACACATCGGGTTTATATTCATAGACACAACTCTATGAATTCAGTAATGACTACTGCTACAGTGATGCAAGACAGCATGTTAAAGGGGTCATATGATGCTATTTTAAAGATCATTATTAAGGCCAAATAAAGTGCTTTTGCTTTCGCACTGAAACACAGCGTCTCCCTGACATGGCTGCATCAACACTACTGCTGTTTCTGAAACCACGCCTTCTTTCTTTGCGTGCACGTTTGGGCGGCATTATGCTAATATTTCCACATTTTGACGTAGATATGTGGGGGCGTGTTAGAACGAGGCATTTTAGGTAGGCGTGGCTGACTCTTAACTTTTATAAAGAATATCTCTTTGGATTTGAGACTTTAGTCTTTGCAACTTTACAGATCTTCTTTATGCACCAAGAGCTTGTAACACTCCAAAGAGAAAGGAAAACTTGAAATCGCATCATATGACCCCTTTAACTGTGCTTTCAATATATTGACCTCATGCTTGCAATTTGCATTTGTGTACTTTTGTACAGTGTGTTTCTGGCCTCAATCTGGGAGAAATGATTAATATCCTAACTAACTTAATATATTAGTTTCATTCTGTCTTGATGGTCTTGCATGTTTTCTTCCAGCTCATACAGGATGAAATTAAGGCGTTAGTGCAGTTACAGAACCGCCAAATCAGCACACAGACTCACTCTCTGGAGCCCAGTAAGAACCCCAAGCCTCTAGAGGACCCGGTGGAGAACACCTTTACGCTGTCGGCTCCAGGACCTCTGTCGCCCCCCCAGCTCACCGTTCACCCTCTGGAGAGCTCGGAGGAGGGGATGGTTACTGTTCTGAGCAGCGGGTATGGGACTCTTTCCACCTGGGAGCATGGGTTAGAAACAGGGCGGCCAAGTTCCACAGAGGGGAGGGACGAGGCGCTGTGGTCCCCGAACCAGCAGGACGGGAGTCTTACACCATCACCTATACCTCTCGCAAGCCCTCTGGGCCAGAACCCGCTGAGCAGAACCAATGACAAGCTCCAGACGGCAGTTGCACTTGATGTGCTGACTGATAAACGGAGAGTAATAAGGTAGAGTTACAGATGGTTAGGTATGATTGTAGTCAATACCACAGATGAAAGTAAATGAATGCGACCAAAAATGAAATGTGTATTTGTCTAAAACTAATTTCAAAGATTTATATGAGCTTTTAGATCAAAAATTTTTTTTAAGATCATGAGAAATTCAATCAAATCTGTTTAAAGTTCATATTCAAATTTTAAAATTCAAATTCTAAAATTTTACTAAGAGTAAAAGCTAATTCAAAATATTAATTTAAAAACAAATTGCCTTGGCAGCTCACTGAAATACGTTTAAGTTGAATTACTAAAATTACTAACTCAAATTAAACTAAAACTGAAATAGAATTTAACTGTGGTAATTGTAATTTATATTATAACAACAATTAAATTAATAATAATAATAAATAATCACAACCATTTGGAAATATTTGTAAAAAAACAAAAACTAATAAAACATGACAAAGCACACAGCAATATTACTAAAAGTAAACTCAAATTAAAGTAATAGTATAAAAGCACTGAAATAACACTGGTTATGATGAACGCTGTTGAATCGTTTTGATCACATTAAGAGATCCAGCTGTTTTGTGTTGTTATATGTTGCGTAGTCAACCCCTGACCTCCTGGGCCCAAAGGCAAAAACACAGGCAGAGAAAGAGTCGAACGACACCAAACCGGACGTCACATGTGGAGGAGCGGGACAGGAGCACAGCAGGAGCAGGATCTCCTAAGGAGCACACAGATCACTTACCTGATGTAAGCACTTACTAATATTGAATGCTTTTTCTTTCTTTTTTTTAATGAACAGCAGGGATCTTTATATATATAATAACAAAGCATATTTTTTTACCAATTCAAGCAGTAAACTCTTTCAAATGTCATTCCAGCTTTTCTACTGTAAAATATCTTTTACAATATTGGTATCATGCCAGTTTCTAAATTTAAATGCAGAAAATGTCAGATTTATAACTGGTCATGCATCTCGGATAAAGAGATTCAACCGTTTGAATTGTGCATAATTTGCTGTTTCAGAGATGAGATGAAGCATCACTGTTCAGCTTATTACTGTGAATGTTCCTAGAAACCTCTGTATGCGTTTAAAACTTCTTTCTGAGTATAATAGTCTTTTGTTTTCTGGCTTTTTCCTCAGCGTGGATGCAGCACAGCCTCCATGAATCCAATGCCTCTAAAGAGAAGTGACAGTCTGGTGTCTGAAGCCTCAGGTAACAAATTTCACTAAGAATCAAGCTCCGCTGTCTGTTCAACAGCACACAGGAGAGATGCAATGGTGATTGTAGGATTTTTTTAATGTTACATTTGAAGAGGGTTTGAATAAGGGCTTTAGATTGATGTAATTTCTGATTATTGTGAAATTGCTATGCACATACTCCTATTCCCTTTGATTTTCCAGGCCTGTCTTACTGGAAACTGGATGAGAGTGAGTTATACCGCCCTCTACCTGACAACTTTGAAAGTGCTTCCTTTTTCCTAATGCAGGTAAACTTTTATTCACTTAGTCTCTAGGAGAAACTAACTAAAAAGCAGCAATGTTATTATCTTAACTGCATCAAAACGATAGCTTTTCCAGTTACTAGCTATGTTTTCCAGTGAGTAGTAGAGTAATGTGACCGAATCGTATAAATCACACGAATAAATCCTAAAATATTTGTATTTATTTTTTATTCGTTCACTGTCACTTTGCATTTCATGTAGAACTACAATTGCTTTACAAATGTAGAACTACAAGTTTTGGGTAGTTTTACTTGTTTTAAGTTACAGTATAGTATGATGAAGTGAGAATATGGAGCTCATACTCAAGGTGATTATGCTGACATTTATATGGGCAAAAAGTAAGATAAAATTCTGATTCTGAAATTCTCCAATAATATTTCGGAGATTTCTATGCCTAGTTTTATGATCAAAGCTCTGTAATTTCAAAACATATAATGAACAACAATGTAACGTTTCTCAAAAGCTTGAATCATATTTCTCAATCATATTTGATACTCATATTTGAACATGATTTTTCTGAAAAATGATGTATGGATAAATAAGTAAACCCAAGTTGCTTCAGTCCAGTAAGTGTTCACCTTGAAATATTAGGCTACTAACAATATAAAAGTTATTCTTACGTTTACTCTATAAAATTCAGTAAAGATTTCACAGCAAAAAGACACGTAAACCATTTACAATCATACTAAATTGATACAATCATACTAAGCAGTTGCTTAGAGCTCATACTCAAGGTGATTATGCTGACATTTATATGGGCAAAAAGTAAGATAAAATTCTGATTCTGAAATTCTCCAATAATATTTCGGAGATTTCTATGCCTAGTTTTATGATCAAAGCTCTGTAATTTCAAAACATATAATGAACAACAATGTAACGTTTCTCAAAAGCTTGAATCATATTTCTCAATCATATTTGATACTCATATTTGAACATGATTTTTCTGAAAAATGATGTATGGATAAATAAGTAAACCCAAGTTGCTTCAGTCCAGTAAGTGTTCACCTTGAAATATTAGGCTACTAACAATATAAAAGTTATTCTTACGTTTACTCTATGAAATTCAGAAAAAGATTTCACAGCAAAAAGACACGTAAACCATTTACAATCATACTAAATTGATGCAATCATACTAAGCAGTTGCTTAAGAGTATAAACTATCAATCAGACGACAGAAGTCATGTTGTAGATTGTGTGCAAAAGGCTTTTCAGAGAACTTTTGATCATTTAAAGGCCTTAAATTTGCATAGCAAATATGATACAGCAGGCTTGTTGTTGTACCAGTTGTTGTTCTGTGGCACACAGACTCCAGATGAGAGCCATCTGTCCCTGCGGGAGATCTACCAGAGCAAGAGAGCAGATCCCAAAGGCCACGAATGGGACTCCTTAATCAACTCATCCACCTCGTCTCCTCAGGTCAGAGCAGAGCCAATTAACACAAGAATTAATTAAGGAGCAAAACGTCTCAACTGTTGCTCCCTCACCCAGGTGTTGACTCTGGACTCCACGGTGCATGTGAAGCACTCGGATCGTACGTCAGGCTTCACGTCGCCGTCCCACTTCAGCAGTCCATCTGCGCAGGTCCGGGCCTGTCCCGGCAGCAGCGGAGCGCCCGTCAGTCCCGACTCCATGGCCCTGCGCAGCCACAGCGACACCGACTGCATGTCTAACGCCAGCAGTCTGTCTGCACAGCAGGTGCCTGACCGGACGTCTCCCTCGCTGGTGGCGCTGAGAGCAAACCAGGCCAACAGTGAGGATGAGGGCAGCCACACTGCCACGGTCACCGTACAGCCCAGAGGACTGTCTGCTCAGGACATGTACAAGCCCAACAGAAGCAGCCCCGAGACGGGCAGTGGGAAAATGGAGCGGACGACCTCGCTGGAGGACCCGGTTGTTCTCTCGCTGTAAGAGTCGTGAAAATCCCACTAAAGTTAACATGAAATGACATTTACAACACATTAAAGTCAACAATTATTTTGAAAAGCTTGGTCACAAAAATGCATAACAATCAAACTGGTCATAATTTTTTTTCCCTTCTCTCCCTTTTTTTCATAAGAAATTAATACTTTTATTCAGCAGGGATGCATTTAACTGATCAAAAGTGACAGTAAAGACATTTATAATGTTACACAAGATTCAATTTCAAGTTAATGCAGTTCTTTTGATCTTACAAAGTTTGTGATACATTGAAAAACTACCAACGAAAACAACCATATGGCCTTTATGGGAAGGTTACATCAGCAGTGGAAGTGGAAAAAGATGGGAAAGTGTTGGAAAAAGTGGACTATGACTATAAATTTTTTTTTTTCAAATAATTAATGCAAAATTGCATTTACAAGGCATTTAAGTAGTTGCCTTTTAACTTCCTCACTATCCTTAGACAAACATTGTCTAACACAGGGGTGCCCAAACTCGGTCCTGGAGGGCCGGTGTCCTGCAGAGTTTAGCTCCAACCCTAATCAAACACACCTGAAGCAGCTAATCAAGGTCTTACTAGGCACACTAGAAACTTCCAGGCAGGTGTGTTGAGGCAAGCTGGAGCTAAACTCTGCAGGAC